CGAATCACTTTTCAAATTGTTGCCACCGAATATTATCGCCCTGTGTTACATTTAAAGAATTTAAATAGCAATGAAGAATTTGCATGAATGTATGCATGTATCAAAAATATGTGTATAAAATCCATTTTCAAACTGTTCAGTGTATATGAAAAATAACTATAAAAATTCTACTTGCAAATAAGATTTAAATTCTAGTTAATTGACAACTTTCTTTAGATTACTTGTAGTAAAGTCATTAGTTTTTGGGCCATAAGGGGCAATTTGCCCAGAAGGGTTATTAATTTCGGTTTCGCACTTTGCGTTGAAAACTTTAAATGTCCGTTTCACTTTTCAAATTATTGCCACCAAGTATTATCACCCTGTGCTATATTTAAAGAAATTAAATAATGAAGAATCTGCATCAATGTATGTATGTTTCTTGCATTGTGATAAAACAACGGTACCTAGAGCCATCTAATTTTGAATAACGTACGTCTCCACCCGATATGGCATGGGAGCCCAGTTTGGAATTTTTATTACCTCTTTGTAAAGCATTTATGAGTTTTTGATTAAGAAATTCAACGATTTCAAAGAGAGCTATGGCAACTAAAAAAAAAAAAAAAAAAAAAAAAAAAAAATTATCTCCAGCACGCGAGACTGTATCGGAAATTATAAACATATGCTCTTTCTATATTATTTTGGGATATTACTGTCTAATTGAATTTTATTATTGAAATGCGAAGAACCATAAAATAAGACGACGATATTTAATAAATAAAGGTAACACAGAAAACGTTAAAAAAAGCTCCTTTGGGTGCAATATAAAATCTGAAAACTTTAACATTTTTTCTTTTTACTATTTTCGTTTTAAAATTAAAAATTTAAAATAAAAAAAAAGAACACACTTTGAGAAAACAAAAGAGTATATATATATATATATATATATATTATTGCTTCGTTTAAATAAAAACACATAACAAAATAAAACTTTAAAAGACTTTTAGTGAAAATGGCCCACTAATTACGGTGATAAAATCACCTGGTACATAACTGGTTGAAGAAGATTAATACGAAAGTTGTCAGAAATATTTTTTGTCGAAAGCAGTAATAATTTTATTTCTGTTTAAATAAATCATAAAAAGGAAAATTCGAGAAGGATAAATAGTATATGTATTCAATTAGGTATGCATAATTTGTTATATAGTACATACTGGGAAAGCACAAGTCAATATTCGACAGTTACATTTGCTACTAAGTTTCTGCCACCATTTTAACGAACTGTTACCCTTCATTTAAAATTAATAAACCAAGCAAAATTGAAGCAATGGATTTTCCATGCATCTCTAAAATTCAGCCCCAATTACGATAATTAAAACCAACGTAATTGCTCTTGACAAATCTTAGGTACAGAAAATTCAAATAGGAAACTGAGAGGAATATTCCGATATCTGAAACAGCGCAGATAAATAAAATGTACATTAAATGTAGTTAGTACATTACCTCTCTCTGTAGGGGAACTCTCTCGTACACAGAGGCTGCGGACACTTCGACAGTCGAATCGCCGGCCAGTTCTGCTTTTGCCTTTGCGGAATTCGATTCGTGTTTCTGCCGCTGGGCGTCGCTGCCTTCTGACCCGAACACGTGATTTGCTTTGGAATGGTTCATTGCGAGACACGGAATGGGTTGAAGGGCATTTGCACGAGAAATGTCCGTTTACATTCCTCTCCCACACTCTTTTCGAACCTTCTTGAAATACATGTATTAAAAATAAATAGAATAAAAAAAATAAAAGAAGAAAGAAAGGGGTCAAAGAATAAAATTTTGTAACCATTTTTTAATAAACGCAATCGAATAGCGGAATGTATTAATTTAGAGAATGAGGCTTTATATTGTTTCTAATTTTTTTTTTTTTTTTTTTTTTTTTTTTTTTTTTAACTTTCGTATTGTTCTATTGAAGATAAACTTAAGTATTAAAGTTATCAAAGATTCTTCCAATGAATATTAAAGACAAAAAAATTAGAAACCGTTTCTTAAGAATCCACTCACAAATAATATAATATAATAATAATTTTAAAATTAAAAAAAAAAATGAAAGCTTTCCTCGAATTATTTCCTATTTCCTATTACGCCTGAAGGAATCGGAAATAGGAAATAATTATAATAATATTATAAAGCTTATATTATTATAATTATTTCCTATTTATATTATAAAGCTTATTAATATGAAAGCCTATTACGCCCGAAAGGGCTTTTTTTTTAACGTTTTCTGTGTTACCTTTATTTCTTAAATATCATGTTCTTCGCTCTTAAACCATAAAATTCAATTGAACGACATGTCACAAAATATTTAAGGGGACTCATACACCTTAAAACCCATAAGATGTTCGAATAGGTGACTATTGCAAGCAATTACTTCCAACTTTTTACAGCTGACTACATAATATAGCTGCTTTCTGAAATAGTCAATCAGAACGTTTGTGTTGCCACAAATGTGTCCATAATTCAATCCGCTTTGTAACAAAATGTTTCGTCATGTTCCACCTTGCGCGCAGTTTTGAACATTCTGTTGCATAATTTAATTCCATATTTAATGTATAGCTTTTATAACGCATCTTAGAAACTACTGTGAACCAAATTCTAACTCTAAGATTTTCATTTAAAAATTTATTTTATTTGGAGTTGAGTTTATAAAAATGTATTTTATTAAAAAAATATGTAATGTTTTCGTGCATAAAAATTTTTCAATATTAAAATATTCATCAGATTGTTAGTTAAGTTAGAGAATAGTGCCCATATAAACAATTCCATCCAATTTCAAGTCTGTATGTACCATTAGCTATTTTTAAAATATCACGCGCACAAGGCGGCAAAATGGCGAAATATTTTGTCACAAAGAGGATTAAATTACAAAAATATTTGTGGCAACACAAACTTTCTGGTTACTAGTTTCCAAAGCAGCTATATTATGTAGTCAGCAGTAAAAAAGTTGGAAGTAATTGCTTTTAAAATAAATAAAATATACCAATTCTTGCAACAGTCACATATTCGAAGATTATGAGGGGTTTAAGGTGTATGAGTCCCCTTAAAACAGCATATCTAAAATTTCTGATACATACTTTTGCGCGCTGCAGATAATTTCTTTTTTTTCGTACAGTCTTGCCATTGCTAGCTTTGAAAATTGTTGAGTTTGTTAATGAAAATTTCGTAAAAGGGGTTACAAAATATGAAATCAATAATAAAAGAGAAAAGAAGTAGCCAACGAGTTGAGTAGTAAGTACGCTTGTACAAAAAGAATAAATTAGCGCATTGGATTTTTCCTCTTAGATATACATACAATATCACAATATCATACAATATCACGCAGTAGTTACATTTTAAGCTACTAAAACATCAAGTCAAACGCAAACCAAAGTTCAGGAAAAACTTATCCGATCTCACTGCAAATTCGCTACAGTCAACAAAACAGTTATGTAAACAACTGAACTGAGATATTTCTCTCCGGCGTTTTAAAACTTTTCAATCGTGCACCAGAAGGTTCAGGTAATTTCCGTTTTCTCGAGATTTCTGGAAAGCAAAAGATTAGAATTACGATCACAGCTAACACAGTACTCAGTTACATTTATTCAGTTTAAATATACTCGTAAATTACTAGATATCTATTATTAAAAGCGCGTGCTCCAGTATTTTTACTTTTTTGGCTTAGCTTCTCTTAAAACTCGTCACGGGGAAATAAACGATTACACGTTAGCATTACACGGAAATAAAACGATTTTAATTACAATTCTACTAAAACTTGCTAACCAAATACAAAATTAGGAACAATATATTCGTTATTCGCTCCACATCTACGTGTCATATATTCATCTGTATTATAGCTCTTATGTATTGCTGAGATGTTTACTTACTTCTGAAAGCCTCATGACCTATCTCGCGGAACAAGAGAGGTTTTGCATTTCTTTCTTAAATAACAATTACAACAATAAACTAATAATGGTTATAAAAAGGTAAAAGTAGTTGTGTCAGGAGGATTGAGTCCAAGAGCAGGCAGATAAACCGCGAGTTTCAGCGGCAACAGAAAAAAATCTTAACAAACTCTCTGATGGGAAGTTACAATCAAAATCCTTTCAGACTTTTTATTTTTTTTTTTTAATAGTACGTTCTTGTTTTGAGTGTTGTGCTATTTTACATAGCCAATTAGACTTGTCTCCAAAAGAAATTGCTTCAAAATTCAGTTAAAATATTAACTGTCAGTGTTTTATTTATTATAACACATTTTATTCTCCTTTCCTGCAATTTTAACTGCACTCGCGATAACCGTCAATGGACTAAACTGCGATATATATAAAAATGTAAAAAAATATAAAAATATTACCAGTCTTAATACAGATGTCAAACATTTTTGCTTCGAAAACAGCAGTCAACCTAGCAGGCATGTTGTTGTTTCAAGGCGAAAATATTTCAAACATCAATTGCCATCAGAAGAATATTCTCTCATAAATTTCAAGTTACAAAATATTGAATATAATAAAAATAACCTTAAGGACCCTCTTCTCCAAAGGCAGATGCGATCATTTAAATGTTACAACATTATATTTGCAACTGTAACATTTACAATTATGGAATAGCGGGCCGCAGGCGGCACGTGGCAAAATGGCTGGTCTCGAATGACACGTCGGCCCCCGAAGCAAAATTATTCTGCCCACGAATATATGCTTTGTCGAATATATGTTGGCGAAAATATTTCAAACATGTGACATCAGTTGCCACCAGAAGAATACTCTCTCATAAATTTTAAGTTAAAAATATTGAACATAATAAAAATAACCTTAAGAACCCTCTTCTCCAAAGCCAGATATTTATCATTTAAATATTACAATATTATCATTTACAATATTACAACTACTACAATATCATTTGCAATTATGGAATGGAGGGCCGCGGGCGGTACGTGGAAAAAGGGCAGGTCTCGAAGCAAAATTATTCTGCCCACGAATATATGTTTCGTCTTATTGCTCCTCATCATGCTGCTCCTCTTCCTGCTGCTCCTCCTCAGGCTTCTCCTCCTGCTGCGAGGAGCAGCCGGAAAAGGAGTAGCCGGACGAGGAGCAGCCGGAGGAGAAGCAGCAGGAGGAAGAGCAGCAGGAGCAAGTTTTAGTTTTCTGGTGCTCCTGCAGCCTGAGGAGAAGGAGCAGCCTGAGGAGAAGGAGCAGCCTGAGGAGGAGCAGCAGGAGGAGGAAGAGGAGGAGCAGGAGCAAGTTTTAGTTTCCTGCTGCTCCTGCAGCCGGAGGAGGAGCAGCCGGAGGAGGAGCAGCCGGAGGAAGAGCAGCAGGAGAAGGAGCAGTCTGAGGAGGATCAGCAGGAGGAAGGAGCAGCAAGAGCAGGAGCAGGAAGAGGAGGAGCAGAAGGCGATAGCTGTAGCATGAGGCTTAGCAAGAGGAGGAGGAACAGTAGGAGGAGGAGCAGGAGGACGAAACATATATTCGCGGGCAGAATAATTTTGCTTCGGGGCCCAAGTGCCATTCGAGACCTGCCATTTAGCCACGTGCAGCCCGCGGCCGTATATTCCATAATTGTAAGTAATAATACTGTAATTGTAATATTGTAATATTTAAATGATAAATATCGGATCTGCCTTTGGAGAAGAGCGTTCTTAAGGTTATTTTTATTATATTCAATATTTTTTAACTTAAAATTTATGAGAAAATATTGTCTTGGTGGCAGTTGATGTCACGTGTTTGAAATATTTTCGCCTTGGAACAACAACATGATGGCCTGCTAGGTTGACTGCTATTTTCGAAACAAAAATGTCTGACATCGGTATTATGACTGGTAATATAAAAGCAGCTACAAGAATTGAAGATTTAATGAAACACACTCGTAGTTTAGTCCACTTACGGTTATCATGACTGCAGTTAAAATTGCAGGAAGGAGAATAAAATGTGTTATATTTAATAAAAACTGAGTTTTTGACTATGTTTTGAACATATGACTGACATATTTTAACTATGTTTTGAAGCAAGTTATTTTGTAGACAAGTTTATTTGGGTATGTAAAATAACACAGCACTCAAACAAGAACGTACTATAAAAAAAAGGAAAAAGAAAAAGTCTGAAAGGATTTAGATTGTAACTTCCCATCAGAGAGTTTGTTAAGGTTTTTTTTCCTGTTGCCGCTGAGCTCGCAGTTTATCTGCCTGCTCTTGGACCCTCCCCTCCTGATACAACTACTTTTACTTTTTTATAACCATTATTAGTTTATTGTTGTTATTGTTGTTTAAGAAGGAAATGCAAAACCTCACTTGTTCCACCAGATAGGTCATGATGCTTGCAGAAGTAAGTAAACATCTCAGCAATACATAAGAGCTATAATACAGATGAATAAGACAACACATTAATATATGACACCTAGATCTGGAGAGAATAACGAATATATTGTTTCGAATTTTGTATTTGAGTTTTAGTAGAATTGTAATTAAAATCGTTTTATTTCCCCGTATAATGCAGCGCGTGACGAGTTTTAAGAGAAGCTACGTTGAAAAATTAAAAATACTGGAGCACGCGCATTTAATAAATAGATATCTGGTATTTTATATTTAAACTGAATAAATGTATTTGAATAAAAGTAATTGTGTTAGTTGTGATCGTAATTCTAGTCTTTTGCCTTCCAGAAATCTTCAGAAAACGGAAATTACCAGAACCTTCTCATCTATATGGTATATAAAGAAAGTCTGTGCGTTTAAATGTCGTCTAATAATTCAGTCAGTAGTATTGTAATGTTGCGCTCTTCTAACCTGCACGCAACAATAGTGGTGACTGCTAAGAACTGGAAAGTAGACAAAGTCTTGAGAAGGGTTTAAATCCCTTTTTATTCAACTTTAGAAATTACAAAGGCGTGCTCTTGACGCTCACAAACTACGCCGACCCGGCGGTAAAATAAAAATAAGAAACTGAAAAGAGATAATAACAAGTGACTAACTACGAGGCTCTCTAAACGTAACTAACCGCGTTCTAAAATACCGGTGATAATTCAGCAAACTTCTGAATATTACGTTGAAAGATTAACAATCTGCCGAGGCAAGCACACAGGCCGAAACGCGTGGTTCTTCAATTTCTAACTAGCCACCTCCACGCTCGTGAAGCAAGAAAGCACCCCTTCGAACTCGTTTCCCTTCTATTTAACTCAGATTACTTCCGCTGACAATTTGAATCCTTGCGCGTTCTACTAAAATTTACATACTCTGGCATTGGCAATTCCAGGGGAAAGTAAGGCTTGACAGGAAAGATAGTTTAAACTTAAAATAAATGTTAGTTAAAATAAATATAAAACCTACAGTACAGCTAGCGTCACCAAACTTTCTACAATTCTTTTCTAGGTCCTGGAAAAGTATAGAAGTCTCACTAAAATCTGAGATGTTAGGCAAGATTTCAAGGTAAAAATTTAAAACTAATATAGAATAAGGAGTTTAGCATACAGCTAAAAAAAATAACATAGAATTTTTTTTCAAACAATTCCTTTTATACCCTAAAAAATGTGGAAGATTTCTTTGAAAAATGAGGGTCTTAAAAAACTAAACATGGCTAAAATATATGGACTGGTTTGTGTTGAGCTGCCATCTACTATAAATAAAAAAGGTTCAGAGTAACCTATAAATCCTTTTTCATTTCAGTTTTTCTGTGCGTATAGAAAGAAATTTTTAGGTATGTGTCCAGACCAGACACACTGTGACGTCGGTTGAATCACCAATCTTTATTCTCACACATATCCAATTAATTTGGCAAACATTTATTCAATCATAATTAAATATGATTAACTTATATACATTTTTTTAAAATTCTAAGACGTAGGCATTTGAAAAGCAAAGCGGTGCAAGGATGACAGAGCAGCAGTTAGGGAAGAGAAGAATGACGCAATTAACTCGCTAGCGATATTTATACTAAATCTGAGGTATAAGTACAGCTAATCTGTGATTGGTTAATATGAGGGTGTTGCATAACATTGAAGATTTTCGAATTTGAGAGAACAGGTGAATTTAGGGGAAGATCACCAAATCTAGAGTCGTTAATTTTTGAGGTCGTCAATTATTTTTAAAGCAGGTATCGTATTTTCTTATATTCTTGTACCTTCCTTAATTGTAAACTTCGTAGATGGTCAGAAACCTACCGAATTTGACTTAGTTTTGTCTAGAAAGGCTTGCCTTTTGGTTTTGTATAATTCGTATTTTTACGGTTATTTACCTTTTTTAACTTTTTTAACTTTTTTAATTATTATTACGTTTTTTCTGACACCAGTTGTTACGTTATTTTCTTCCTTTACGTTCTTACGGAGTTTGTAGATTTGAAGTGAATAACGACGACATTTGATGAAGTATCGAAACACACTTTATTTAGACAATATCAATATTATCAATCAATATTAATCATAATTAGCTCGAAGGTCACGTTTTACAGTCGTCGAAGATCTACTATACACTCGCTGGAACCATCTCAACCTTCAGGTTATCAGGCTATAACGGTGAAGACAGCTTCACTGCAAAGCACCAGAGTACAGCTCCCGACTTTGCTCGATCGTTCTCGGAACTCCACGTACTCTCAAGACAGTCCCCGCTACATCTCTCGATGCACTCACAACACACACATACAGCTCTCGACTGTCTGGTTCAGCCGTTCCAGGAGCTCAACACACTCTCTCGACGATGCACTAACCGCGATACACTAAGAGACTCTTTCGATACACTCGACGACCCACTCGGCACTCGCTGCCCGGCTGTCAACTCGGTCGACTCCGCACGGACTGACTAACTATCTCGCACTCACTCTCTGCGTACCAGCAGGGTTTATATAGTTTTTGGCTTCTGTTCGGGAACATTCTGGGCTAAACCGGTAAGAATTCGTTCCAGAAGGTTTTCCATCCGTCCATGGTATATCGCCAATTTTGTCGCCAAATGTGGCAACCCTGCCGTCCCTTACCATTTTATGGCGACCCTAAAACTGCTTTGCGAGGAAGCTACCTTACCGCGCCTTGACATTTCGTAACAATGTTAATATTTGAGCAATCTCAGCAGCTTGCAATTTCGAAACTTAAATGGTTTTTCGAGTAGATTGAAGCAAAATTAAATACAGTAAGACCCCGCTTAACGCTGTTTCGCTTAGCGCTGTTTCGGTTTAGCGCTCTTTTATTTCAACCCGGGGATTCTCCGAAATTGTGCGCAGCGCTAGGTTTCCAAATAACATATCCGAAACAGTGTAGTTGTGTTTCTTGCTTGATGGACGCATTTTTATCATTTGAAACATTTGTTGACATTATTGTAAGTTTAAATTTGTATAATACTATAACGATTAATACAGTGACAAATATTATGATCTTTAGTTTTTATCATGAGTGATAATAAAAAAACAAGAAAAGAAAGCAACCAGAAAAAGCATTTCACTGGAAACTCAAATGCAAGTGATTAGAAGATTAGATTCTGGTGAACGTCAATCTCAAATTAGTGCTGCATTGATTTTGGCAACTTCAACAATAAGGACAATTCTTAAGAATAAAGAAAAAATACTGTCATCGGCAACTGCAACTACGTCAAGCTCTGCAACTAGAATTACCGTTCTAGAAATAACATTATAGAGGAAATGGAAAAAAACGACTGTCTATATGGATTGACGACGAAATTGAACGCAATTTGCCATTAAGCCAATCTATCATAATGCCTTCTTAACAAAAAGGCAGAAAATTGGAAACCCAGAATAGACTGAATGATCTGACTGAGAATTTTATTTGTTTTTAAAAGTATATGCGTTTATATTGTTTTTATTTTTGTAAGAAATAAATGTTTGATTTTATTTTTATTAAAAAAACATTATTAAATTTAATGCCTAACCATTTTTTATCCGTCTTCCCCTAACCCCATTATTTACATGTTAAGATAGCCTCGCTTAGCGCTGTTTCGCATTACGCTCTACTTCGATGGAACGTATCCCCCGCGTTAAGCGGGGTCTTACTGTACGCTTTCGTGCCGCCCCTTTTTTAGTTTTTTTTATACAGACTTTTACAAGGTTATCCCTTGTTTTAAACGATAGTAATAAGTTCATTTGGCTTTTTCTGGCTGTTCGCATTGTAGTTTTCAGTTTACTGCCTCAAACTCCTGTTTAGCGATTTTTTATTTGTCTCCTTTTATGTTTTTTTCAGCATCTTATTTAGTAATTTTTTTGTTTCTGCTTAAGTATGATAATTTTATGCTTGAGTTTTTTAATTTTTTACTGTGTTAAGAGTTACGAATGCAGACCGGGAAAAGATTTTAGCATTTGAGAACCACTGAAAGTTTTTTTCAAATTGAATATTGATTAAAAAAAATTAAGGTGCTGTTTGTCTCAGAGGAACGAAACTTGTATTCGGAACTCATTGATCAACTTGGTTCCGGGCTTCAAAACAC